CAAAATGTATTTCTATATTTGATAATCTCTCTAGACTGGTACAGCTCTTTGTGTACAATTGGTCTATGAAGATATTCTATAATTTCTCAATTCAATGGATGAGAATCTGTTACTGAAGAATAATCAGTATAATAATCACTAGAACATCAAAACGCATATTATGCCATTATAGTTCTAATGCAGTATTGGAATTATAGATCCTATATAAAAAAGGAATGATTTTAGAGCCTTAAAATCTGGTTTGAATACTGACATAATGTCTGATCAAAAATAAAATCAACTGTTTATTACAACTTGCTGTAATTTCAAAATACAATAGACTATAGTGCTCTAGCCTTCTTCATTTGAGACTGGCAATCTTTATCCACAAAACTAGTATGAAATTGTAAAACCAGAATCTTAACACAAACAAACAAACAAACAAACACACACACACACACACACACACACACACACCAAGGCTCTTGAGCAGGGCTGTCGAACTTCCGGCCCATGGCTGGATGCGTTATGCACTGGCCATGCCCACACCCGTTATAATGAGGGAGGGGAAAGTCCCGATATGTCATGTGACGCTGCCATGACGACATGAGTTTGACATCCCTGCTCTTGAGGATCATGAACTGCAATACAAAGAATTAGGAAACAACAGATAAACTGAGAAATGATATGAAAGAAGTAAAGGAATAAAGTATCATTTTTCTTCAACTAATACCAAAATGTCTATTTTCAAGACTGTTGCTATACTTTCATTTACTTGAGGAATATTTCATTCAGGTCAACTAAAATGAATATTACTTTTGCTGCTAGAGAAATGGAATTCAAGCTGAAAGATACAAGATTAAGGAACTAGAAATATGACAAGAAATTTTGAGGAACAGCTATATTCATGTTAAAATAAATCAAAAGGTAAAATAAAACAAAACCTAAGTCATAAAACATGACAATCCTATTACAGTACAACTACAGATTATCCTTGACTTACAACAGTTCAGTTAGTGACCAAAGTTACAATGGCATGAAAAAAGTGACTTGTGAACATTTTTCAATTATGACCTTTGTAGCATCCCCATGATCATGTAATCAAAATTCAGATGCTTGGCAACTGGTTCATATTTATGACCGTTGCTGTGTCCCCAGGTCACGTTATCACCTTTTGCAACCTTCTGACAAGCAAAGTCAATGGGGAAGCCAGATTCACTTAACAACCGGGTAACTTCTCAGCTACACTGACTCACTTAACAACTGAGGCAAGGAAGATCATAAAATAGGACAAAACTCACTTAACAATTGTCTCACTTAACAACATAAATTTTGGGCTCAATTATTGTTGTAAGTTGAGGACTACCTGTAAATAGGCACCATTTCATTAGAGGCATGAAAGATGCTCTCAGTCAATAGGTTTTAACACAATTATATGCATAATTACAAAACAAAAATAATTGTTGGGCCCAAAGGTATAAATGGTAAGCAAAATGGCTTGTAATATTTTGAAGAAAAATTTAAGTGTTTGAAAGACAGAAAATAGTCATCATTCATAATCTTCCAGATTTTGCAATCAGTTATTAGAATAGAAAAGATTGTGGTTCTAGTTTCTTATAAATTATTATTAGTCAAAAAATGCTAATGTGCAGTCCACATTAAAGATTCTTTGGAGGTTTTTTGTATAAGAATAAACAGTTTTCAGGTTTTAATGCTGCAATTTTTAAAATATCAGTTGTACAAAATTTGTACACAATTATATAACACTGAGTTGTTTTAGATACAGGTAATCCTCAACTTACAACAGTTCATTTAATGACTGTTCAAAGTTAAAACGGCATTGAAAAAACTCACATGACCATTTTTCAGTTACAAACTTTGTAGCATTTCCCCATGATCATGTGATCAAAATTCAGATGATTGGCAACTGGTTGACCTTTGCAATCTTTTGACAAGCAAATTCAATGGTGAAGCTGGATTCTTTAACAAGTGGGTTACTAATTTATCAACTGCAATAATTCACTTAACACCTGTGGCAGGAAAAGTTGTAAAATGGGGCAGAATTCACTTAACATAAATTTGGGCTCATTTGTGGTTGTAAGTCGAGGACTACCTCTATATGGCAAAAAGTTCCTGTTTGTATGGAGAAGGAGGGGCTATGTCCATCTTCTGCAAAAAGGGAAGTGCCCATTTTAGATAAGCGATCTGTTTCCCCCCAAAAAAATCCTGGATTATCAACCTGTGGTGCATTGTAGGCAATGCCCCAATATCAAGTAGCCAATAAACTGGACAATAAATAACACATTGCCATAATATTAAGAACAGTGCATATTCCTACATATTCCCCAGATACCTCATCTGATCAAAGAAGCACACAGAGGATGGGGGAAGAATACAAAGTTCAAAAATTAGGCCAGGTTACTATAGCAATAAATTCTGTAATCTAAACTTTGAAGGATGGCCATTATATAATGAATGAATTAAATGTTACAATTATTAGATTACACTAACCTTTATAGGATAAAGGAGGAATGTTTGATACCTAAAACCTTGAAAACAAAAAGGCCAGCAACGAAAAGCAATCACCCTACAAAAAGCAATTTAAATGCAATCTCAGTTACTATATCCAAACTGCAAGTAGCAAAATTTCATGACTTTATAGACAGGGCCAGCTCTGCTATAAGGCAGAGTGAAGCAGCTGCCTCAAAAAGCAGATTCTTGGTGTTCTGAAAAAGTAGCAAGTGGTTATCTTAATTACTGTGTTTTCCCCAAAATAAGACACGGTCTTATTTTCTTTTGATCCCCAAAATAAGCACTTGGCCTTATTTTCAGGAGGTCTTATTATTTTTGAGGTGTAGGAGGCTGCAAGCGTGGTCACCTCAAAACACTGCTGCTGTGTTGCAATATTTTTGAGGGAGGGCTTATTTTAGTGCAAGCTCTCAAAAGCACAATTGGGCTTATTATCCATGGAGGTCTTATTTTCAGGGAAATAGGGTAGTCAGTGTTATCACTGTATTTCCACAATGGTTATTGGTGCTGAGGAATTTTCTGAATGTCATGGAGAATGTGTAGTTCAAAACTAAATGGGACCAAACAAAAAATAATATTAATTGAAGTTTAAAAAACAAGGTGGTATACTGCTTAAGAAACCAAGAGCATCGGGTCTACCATAAGAATGAAAAATTGGCTATATGACTTTAGGCCATTCACTCTCAGCCCAACACACATCACAGGGTTGTTGTGGGGGAAAACAGTGGGCAGAGAAATATTAGGTACATTTGTTGCTTTGAGTTATTTATAAAATTAATAAAGGCGGAATAAAAATCTCAAAAAAACTGTTGACATAAATTTACGGGAGAATGGTTGATTTCCAAGTTACGGCTTTGGAGGACCACATACAAACTAGAAACTGCAGATAAGAGTGACATGTTTTATACTTATTGTGTATATCTCAATCAGGATTTTGCACGTATAAATAAATGCCTTAGAACTTAAAAACACAAGCCATAATAAATCTACTAGTTTTTTTTTACATTGCTGTTCTTCAAATAGTACCATTTTGGGTTTTTTTTCTGTATGCAGCCAAGTTTTGTCATAACTTTTTCTAATGAATTATACATCAAAACCTATATATTTTTTATATTTTACATGTAGTCCTCAGTTAACAATTACCACCAATAAGAAGATGCATTCCCTTTCTTAAAGACATGGCAGCTATCCTGGGTTCATCTATTTTAATATTCTCCAGAAACCTCAAACTTTGTCTACAATTTGCATCAAATTTGTTGCTGTCATAAATCCCAACATAAGAGAAATGAGGCCAACTGTCACTATTATTGTTGTAAATATTCTTTCTGATCAATTTTAATTCATTCCTTTGTTTAGAAGAAACAATTCCATGTTTCCCATGTAAACAAATTAGAAAAGTTTCTTAAACTTGGTGGTGCATAGGCCTACATTTAAGATATCCAAATATTCCTACCTTGGTTCTAATGTACAAACCAATTATTAGATTTATACATCATACTAGGGCTGCTTAACCATGGTTTGTTGAATGGAGTCATAGATTATGGTCACCTAAGACAAAACCATGCCACTGGATTATGGCTAAATCCTGTCACTGTATTTGTTGTAAAGATGACATTGTAGTTCTTTGTTCTGTTTAAATGGTCAGCAACAAACCAGCAGGATATATAAGAATCAAAGCATCTTACAAAAGAAGCCTTATGCAAGAATCAGAAAAGATATATCAGAGAAGATATTTCACAAGTAAACTTTCTTCTCACTGGAGGGCCAGAAACTTGTGATCAAATCTGTCTTTATATTAATTCACAACCACTTAAATAAATCTTTATAAGAAATGTGTATGCCCATGTTTGTCTTTGAGACAAGATTGTTAATGCAAAAACAGATCTCAAATTGTTAAAAACACAATTCCAGTGTTATATTACTTCAAAAAACACATATACCCACATTACTGAGTGCATTAAAATTCCAAGATTTGCATGCAAATCAGATCTTAAATAATAACTGTTGTCAGTGCAGATCTATTGTATATTGCTAACTAACAATACCATCAAGTAGTCAGACTGAAACCAGCAGCAAGTATTCACATTGTCTATGCATATTATTTCCACTGGGGGGGAAAAACAGGATCTTGAGTCCATTAAATGGAATTCAGAGGAGGAGGATTACTTACAAACAATGTAATAAGGATCAAATCGTAGATTTCAAGCAGTAATTCTAAAATGGCTTCTCTTTGTATGCTAAGCAGCAATAAATAGAAGGTTGCCTATAGAACGGTGGCCTAGGTGTTCTTCCTTTTTAAACCTGTTTTTGTTTCGAAAGAAACAGCCGTTTTTCAAAGGAGTTCGATCAGGACACGGCCATAGCGCTTAGCCTTTCTTTACCTAGGAAGAGCCGACCTCGCGGATTCTTGTAGCAAAAGCAGCAGCCACAGATAAATTTAAGTAAAAACTTCAACAACAACAACAAACAAAAAAAAACCACCCTGAAGATACCTCATTCTTGTTTGCAGACTTCTGGGCCATTTAAAAAACTCCGGATGACCAGGGCAAGGCACAGTATCAAGCCCAGCATGTAGCCGATGGTGCCCGTAAACGTAGGCGAGGTGGGCGGCGGGCTTTGAAGGAAGTGCCGCAGGCCCTCCTCTACATAGAACATCTGGTCGTAGATGCTGAGGAACGTGAAGATGTGGAAAAGCTGGTGGCTGTGGCCGATGATGTCGAAGAGACCCGGCTGGATCCGCTCGGGGATCTTGCTGAGGTTGAAGAAAGCAGCCACCAGCAGCCAGAAGTAGCGGCGGTAGAAGTGCAGGAAGAGGGTGGGGCTGTGGTCCTGCAGGTCGAAGAGGAGGCTTTCCAGCATGATGGGGCAGGCCATGCTGAGCGGCATGACGAAGACGAAGGTGCGGATGACGAAGGGGTAGGCGCACCAGTCGGAGCGGCTCTTGCAGCAGGCCACGGTGCAGGCCACGGCCAGCACGAAGGCGACCGGCAGCACCAGCGCGCTGTAGGTGGCGATGGGCGCGCTGCAGTCCACGTGCCAGCCCAGGCGCTGCTGCAGGTAGCGACTGAGCATGCGCGGCTCCAGCAAGCTCAGCTTGGGCAGCAGATAGTAGTAATAGGCTACCGTGCTGGCGAAACCGTAGTAGCTGATAGAGGCGTAGTCCAGGTAGAAGAAAGCGGCACGCAGGCGTAGCGAGAGGCAGCTGAACACATGGGCCGTGCAGCTCATGGCAAAGGTGAGCAGGACGCCCGAGGCGTAGCACCACAGCGGCAGTAGCGCAGGGTGATGGAAAGGCAGGTCGCCGGCCCCGCGCAACACCAGCAGACGGCAGAATTTCCCGACGAAAAGCAGCAGAGGGATGAAGTGAGTCCAGAAGTTGAGCGTCTCGTTGGTGGGCTGCAGCACCGAGGCCAGGCACTCCTGCGCCGAGCAGTGCAGCCGCCGGTAGCCCGACAGGATGAAGCATTCCACGAAGTCGTCGGGCACCTCGTCCCAACGCAGCGTCCCAACGGAGGGCCGGGCCGAGGGCAGGGAAGCGGAGAGCAGAGGCCGGCCGGGATGTGGGGGCGGCTGCGGCGGGGCAACCCTAGGGGACGCCTGGCCTTCGCCGCCCCCGCCCGCGGGCATCGTCCTCCGCTTCGTCTCGGGCTGCTGCTGCCGGTGGTGATGATGTCGCCGCTGGTCGTCCCCTCCGGCCTCGTTGAGATGCTGCCCGCCTGCTTGCTGCCCAGACAAGCGGCAGCAGCCAGAGCTAGGATTGTGATGTAAGCTCATAGCGGCAAAGCTGCTTTTCCTCCTACTGGAAGAGCTGCAGACGATTTGTGCCTCAGATGAGCAGCCGCGGCGGTGGCAGCCGCCTCCCCCTCTTCTTCTTCCTCCTCCTCTTCCTCTTCTTCCACCGCCGCCTCTTTTTTCTCCTGCATCATTCATTACAGGAAGGACAGGAGGCGAAGAGAAGCAAGCTTGCTCACCCCAGCCAGCCAGCGGCAGCTCCTGCAGAGAGAAGCGGCGGGGAGCATTGCAGTTATTCAAGCCTCGCCTGGCGCGATGGGGTCATGGCTTGCTGTGGCCCATTAGATGCCCCTCTCGGCTTCTGTTTCTTCAATTCAAATCCGGGGAAGACCCCTTTTCCCACCTCCGCCTCCCTCCGCCGAGCCACATTTAATGGTCGTTACCTCGATTGGAGCCAATCTGCAGTGCCGCTCCACTCTTTCCAAAGACAAGGACGTTCCGCGTTTCTCTCTCTCTTCCCGCCCCCGCCCTATCGGTGCCTTTTTCGAAATACACGTGGTAGAATTAAGGTCAAAGAAATCCCACCGTATTTTTCTTAACTTTTCACATGGATATTTGAACACTGGTATGTTTTTGGCAAGGGGAAAAAAGAAACCACACGTTGGCATTTTAGGATTTAACAAAAGGCAATCCCAAATTTTAAAATACAAGGCAAGCATTTTTAAATGAATTTATTAAAAAATAATCTAAGGAAAACCCAGTACATCAAATTAGATTGGTGTAGGACTATTTTTAGATAATTCATTTGGGTATAATGGGCATGATATATTGCAACTTCTGCTTTGTAGTGGCCAATTCTTGTGACAACAATAAAAAACCCCTAAAGACCCAAGGGGCAAGTTTCAATATTGGAACACAGAAGCAGTTTGAACCAACAACACAATGACGTAACAAATCCTTTGATAGCCATTACAAATTTAATTGCAGTCAAAACACACCCCAGCATTCTGGGCCAAAATAATTCTTATATTCTAATTAACCCGTGGGCTGGCACTGAATACTATTTTAAATTGTGGAAAAGGTTAGCATAGAATTGTGTGTAAACTTACTTTTGTAAGTCCCATGGGATTCAAAATGCCATATGGGATACATTTGATTATCAAAGTGGTGCATATCATATTGATAATTCTTAGGCAGATGATACATTTATCAGATGATACATTTATCAGCTGTGCAGTGATGTAATTAGCAGAGAGAAAAAAATAAACTTCTCTTTCTCTTCTCTTTAAAAAAAAAAACCCCTAATTAATAAGATCTATTATTTGCTAAGCTGAACTTGTTGATCAGAAAGGTCAGCATTCAATGGTTCGTGAGCTCCTGTTACTTGCCCCAGATTCTGCCAACCTAGAGTTTGAAAGTATGTAAAAATGCAAGTAGAAAAATAGGGACCACTTTGGTGGGAAGGTAACAGCGTTCCGTGCACCTTCGAAATTTAGTCATGCCAGCCACATGATCACAGAGGCTCTTCAGCTTTGAAATAGAGATCTTATTAATTAGGGGTTTTTTTTTTTAAAGAGAAGGGAAAGGGAAGTTTTTTTTTTTCTCTCTGTTAATTACATCACTGCACAGCTGATAAATGTATCATCTGATAAATGTATCATCTGA